TCAATATAATCGTACCCCTAATTGTAATGGTAGACTGCTTGATCTCTGCTTTGCCAATTTTCCCGAGATTTACGTAAATCGTTGTCCACCTCTTAGTTTACCTGAGGATCCTTATCATCCATCAATATGCATTTCCTTTCATCATATTAATGATGGTTTGTTGAAATGCCTTAATGTGCCAAATCAAACTTTTTTAAATAATTATTATGATTTTCATAAAATCAATATTGTATTACTAAAACATCGTCTTTCACATCGGACGCTTGATTTCTCAACCGGTAGTATTGAAAGCTGCCATCGTTCTACAATACATTAAATCTGGCTATTGCTGCATCTGTTCCGATCAAGCATTGTCGACCTCGAAGCAAGCGTCCCCCGTGATTTAATAAGACAATTAAATATCACAAGAATAGAAAAAACTCGTTATTCAAAAAATATTCGAAAAGTGGCTCTGCGCTCGCCGATCTACAGTCACCAACTTGTTAGAGTTTACCTGTCATGTTTTCAAGACTTTTTCTAGCGGCTCTCGCACAGATGTTATTTACACTGATTTAAGCAAAGCATTTGATATGGTTAACCATAGACTACTTATCTTTAAACTCCAAGCCTCTGGTTTCATACCCTACTTAGTGAAATGGATAAGCTCTTATCTGCACAATAAATCCTTCAGAGTTTTGTTTAACTTCATCACCTCGGATGAATTCCCCGTTACGTCTGGCGTACCTCAAGGAAGTCACTTAGGTCCTATTTTATTTAGTTTATACATTAACGATCTCCCATCGGTGGTTAATTCCAGCCAGATCTTAATATATGCTGATGATGTGAAACTGTTTTCTTCCTTCTCTGTTGAACCTCAATCACATCAGCTTCAAGGTGATTTGGATAATTTTGTTGCATGGTGTTCTTTGAATCTTCTGAAACTAAATCTGAGTAAATGTAAGAAGCTTTCATTCTCAAGAAGAAAGTCATTCATTACTCAGTATTTCATAGATTCGCATAAGTTGGAGGACGTCGATTCGATTACAGATTTAGGCGTTCTATTTGACCATAGGTTACGTTTTAACTTGCATATTGAGCTCTCGATTAGCAAAGCTAGGTCCGCGCTTGGTTTTATAAAAAGGTGGTCCAAGGAGCTTGATGATCCCTACATTACGAAGAGGCTGTACATGTGTTTGGTTAGACCCATACTCGAGTATGCCTCAGTTGTGTGGTCTCCTTCATATAGGTGCTACGTAGATTCAATTGAATCTGTTCAAAAGCAATTCTTGCTGTTTGCCCTTAGAAATTTGGGTTGGGATCCGATTGCCTCTCTTCGTCCGTATGAAAATAGGTTACTTCTGCTGTCCCTACCGTCTCTTGAGAAACGTAGATTTGTTCTTGGCGTTTCCTTTCTAATTAAAGTAATAAATGGTGCTATTGACTCGCCTTCATTACTTGGTGAAATAAGCTTTAATGTCCCTAACCGCTTCTTGAGGCACTTTATCTTGGTTAACCTTAATCAGTGTAAATTTAATTATGAGCTGTTCAATCCGCTCAGAGTCGTTTGCAAGAACCTAAATGACGTCTACCACTTATTCTCGTTATCGGACTCTTTAAAGTCCATTAAAGCATTGCTTATTGCTTAATACGCGCGATTTAAACTAGCTTTTATCCTTAAAAAGTCGTTACGTTTCGAAAGTGAATTATTGTCAATTTATTATCGGTTGCCAGGCTTATGCATGTTTGCGATGGCTTAGGGGTTCATTTGCAATTTGGTCCTGTACCGGTTGTAAGTGTGCTCCTATGCTGATAGTGTACATGCTTTTTTTTCTTTTTCTTTTTTTTTTCTTCTTATTTGTTTTATTATGCTTATACTCAACTTTATTGTTAATTAATATTAGTTTTGCATTAAGAGCCTATTGAACTCGACTGTTATTTGTTTAGTTGAGTTTCTAGTATAAGTGGAATAAAATAAATAAATAAATAAATTCTCAACGCTCCAACTCACAAAATTGGCCCCATCCTTTAGCGATGTGTATAAACAATTAATTATCAATAATATATAATTGTCAATTTAATGATGAAATATAATAAAACTGAGTTTAATACGTCTGGGATAGTACTGCGAACCGCGAAAGTAAATCGGCCATTGATTATGTACAGTGCTAGATATGTTTCATTTTCAAGTTTCGAGTTTTATTTGCTATATGTTTGCACAAAAGGGGCGAGAAGTACTTTCTCTTATGCTTAGAGTTAGTATTAGTTTCTTTTTTTTGTCTAGAATCGCATTTATGATAGAAAAAGGCTGCAATGAATGGAAAAGTAAGTTCTAAACAAAATTGCTTACCTACCAATAGCTGAACTAAGGCAAAAAATTTTAAATTTATGAAAGACAAGTAAATTAATTCCGTTTGTTGGCTTCTTACTCTAGTAGTCTCATTAATATCCTTAAACCACTAAAGCTTGTAATCAATACCGAACCGTCAGTCTTTCCAAACATCATCACATCAATTATCGTTATCAGTGAAAAAGCGCAAAGGACCAACAAATAATAGGAAGTCATCACTGCACTGGGTATATAGCCAGCAGGCGTAATCTATTCTGGGAAAAAAATTAAAAGAAAAGGTAGGTCACATATTGTTGAGCAGTAAATTTTAAGCAGAACGCTTCGCGTGTTCATATCATAGTATTTGGCGCAATAAGAGGATCAGGATTCACGAAGAAGAATTCTTATGAAACCGAGAAGGAATTTGCGATAGACTTCGAATCCACCCACGTTACCTGAAAATGTGTAAACACAATCTTTTTTATATTTGTGAACCATGTTGTTGAGAGATGAGTTGGTGTCTGCAAAGGTTA